CCTCTGCGCTCTCACAGCAGAGCAGCGGCGGCGGCGGCGTGGCGCTGCGAAGCCGCGCCTCGCCGCGCCGCCAGAGACCCGTCAGCATCGCCGGCATCCCGTCCAGGGCGGCCGGACACGCCGCCCGCGCCGACACGGACGGTACGCGGCGATGCGGCTCGCTGAACGGGGGGCAGCGGGAGCAGCTGGGCCAAGTCCGCTGCCGCCCTGTCACCCAAGTGTCCGCGACGGCACACGGGCTGTGTCGGGCAGGCACGACGTGGCAAACAGTAGTCGTATGCTCAGTTGTGAGTGAGGGGTGACACCCCCAGATCTGCTGCACGTCTGCGCCCGCACGGCGGGGCATTGTCGTTCCCTAACCTCCACTACCGCACGCCTGCGCAGTAGCTCTGTGTGACGGCTGGCCGGTGGCGGCCGTGTGCGCGGCTCGAACGGGTCGGCGCCCGTGCCCTGACCGGCGGCTGGTCTGTGCACAGCTGCAGCACGGACGCCGACGGAGGGCCGCCGCCCGCTCTCCAGTCACAGCAGGCCGGCGCCGGCAGTGCCGCCGCGCCGCACCCCCGCCCAGGTCAAGGCCGACGACGCCAAGAAGAGGGTGAGTTGACGCGCCTCGCGCGCTGCCACCAGCGGCGCCACGTCAGTAGGGCCCGGCCGCTCGTCTCAGAGCTGGGCCACGGCTTCACATCGGGCGCCTATGTCGCGGCCGATGCGCGGTTCTGAAAAACTTATGTAACCTGGATCTTTGTGCGCTTTGAAGTACGTCTGCTAAATGGTGAGCCCTTAGGTTTGATTTGGGTGCGGCGCAGAGTTCTTTTTTATGTTGTTGCAAGTCTTAGCCAAGGTATGGTCGGTCAAACTGTTTCACCATCACAGCCTGCGTCTGTTATCCTTGGCGTCCGCTGTCGCAGAAGCTGCGCTCCAAGTCCAACACACCACAGCCGTCTCCGGCGGTTGAGGTGGCGCCGCCGCTGCAGGATGTGGTGTCTGAGCCGCCCGGGGCTCAGGCTGAGAAGGGGCCCGGCGCCGTGGCGGCCAGGCCGCCATCCCAGGACAGTGCCCAGGTGGCGGGCGACGCGGCCGCGGTCGGTCCGCCCTCCCAGACCAATGATGTGACGCCGTCGGCCGAGCCGGCGGTCGCGCCTGCCGCGTCGGGTGCCGCCGGCGACGCCGAGCCGTCCCCACCGCCGACTGGCCCCGGTGCTACGGAAAAGGCAGCGGAGCAGCCGGCCGCGGCGGCTGGTGTCCATTCGCAGGCGGAAGAGAAGCCCATGGCGGTTTCTGTCTCGCAGACCGCGGACAGTGAGGCGAGCATGCCGGGTGCTGTCGTTGAAACTGCGCCGACGCAGCCGGCTCCTCAGGACGCGGCCGTCGACGCGGCTCCGGCAGCCGCCACCGCCAAGCTAGTCATTCCAGAGCCGGCCGCGGTCCCACCGCCGTCGCCGCCGGCGGTGGAGCCAGTGCCGTCCGCGCCGCCGGCCGAGCCGGTGCCGTCCCTGCAGCCGTCGGAGGCGGCGGCCGTCGAGGCTGCCGCTCCAGCACACGTGGGGCCAGTGCCGCCAGCGGAGCCGGCGGAAGCCGAGCCGTGTGCGGCGGCCGTCGAGGCTGCCGCTCCAGCACACGTGGGGCCAGTGCCGCCAGCGGAACCGGCGGAAGCCGAGCCGTGTGTGGCGGCCGTCGAGCCTGCCGCCCCCGCACACGGGCCAGTGCCGCCAGCGGAGCCGGCGGAAGCCGAGCTGTGTGCGGCGGCCGTCGAGCCTGCCGCTCCAGCACACGTGGGGCCAGTGCTGTCAGCGGAGCCGGCGGCAGCAGAGCCGTGTGCGGCGGCCGCAGACTTGGAGCCTTCCGTCGCCGCCTCTGGTGCGACGCCGTCCAGTGCAGCCGCCGTCCCAGAGCCGGAGAGTGAGGCCCCTGCCGCACCGGTGGAGTCGACCCCGCCTTCCGGTCTAGGCGGCGAGGAGCCGGCAGCTCTTCCAGCGGCGGTTCCGGCCGTTCTTCCAGCGGCGGTTCCAGCCGTCCCTCCAGCGGCGGTGGAGGCAGCTAGTCAGCCTCCGGCCAGCCCTGCCGCGGTGCAGCCCGCCCAGCCGCCGGCGGAAGGCGCGCAGGAGTCGCAAGGTGAGGCACCGCGCCGAGCAGGCCAGCGCGTCGGCCCGAGTGCTCCGCGTTATATGCGATTTTTAACTGTCAGTTGTGCTGGGTTTCATAATCAAAGTATTTTTGTTTTCGTTGTTGGTGGGAAGTGCGTAACATTTGCACTCCTCCGATACCTACCCATTTTGTTTGAATGTCACGGTACATATCGAGAGGTTCAAGTCAGAACTCAATTCATCTTCAGTTTTGACCTATTATTTGATAAAGAATTTTGCTTGAGTTCAGTAAAAGCCTTATGTCGACTACAGCGGATAGATCGCCGGCTAGCTTGGTCCCGCTCTAATTTCAATCACGTGGAAGGCGTGTCCGGTGGGTCCTGTACACGCCTCGGCGGCTTTAGGGCGCCTCGGCAGGTGGTGAGGTCGCGACTGACTGGGCGCCCTTCACGCCGCCGGCAGCAGACGGCGCTGGCGAGCGGCGTCGGGCGGGCTACACCAGCGAGGCGGCGGCGCGCGCCGCCCTGGCAGAGAAGCGACGCCGCGCCCGTGAGGAGGCCGAGCGCCAGGCGGAGCTGGAGCGCCGTCGCCAGGAGGAGCAGGAGCGCGAGGAGCAGGAGCGCCAGCGGCTGGAAGAGGAGCAGCACCGCCGGGACATGGAGGAGCAGGAGAGGCTGATGGAGGAGGCGGGCCGCGCCGAGCAGGAGCGCCTGCAGCGCGCCATCGAGGTGAGGCGCCGGCCGTCGCGGCGCGCCGTCGGGTCAGGGCGTGTCGAGGCAGGGGGTCGCCAGGCCTCGGGTGTCACGGCGTCAGCTGTGGTACGTACGGTGCGGTGTCGCCCAGTGGACCAGCGACTGGACGTGTCGTGGCGATGTGTGCGTGGCCGTTGCCGTGCTACCTTGCGGGCTGACATGTCTTACCTTTGCCTGACCTGTGCGGAGCCCCAGCTGACCTGAGCCGATTGTCCCTGACCTGCCGTGGGCTCAGCTGGCGGATCAACAGCGGCTTGAGGAGAGCCGCCGCCGCGAGGAGGAGGAGCGGCAGCGCCAGCAGCGCGAGCTGGAGGAGGCGCTGGCCCGCCAGGAGGCGGAGCGGGCCCGGCTAGCCGCCGCTCAGAAGCTGGAGCTCGAGGAGGCGGAGCGCAAGAAGCGGCGCAGTCGCGTGGCCGAGATCATGAGCCGGACACGCGGCGCCGGCGGCGGCACGCCGACCAAGGTACGGACCGTCAGCTAGCGGCGGCCGACCGGCGGCAATCACAGCGCTCACCGCGAACTGGGGCTCGACGGCGGCAGCCAGCCGTTAGTGAGGTTACCTGTCTCATCGTTCACATCGTTTTCTCTTTTACGTGCTCCCTTATGTTGGGACACCCAACCTGGCCTGCTGTAGTCGTATTACACCTGATTTCGCCTCATCTAGCTACTCACTCGTCATCTGGACTGCTCATTCCACCTGAAGTACCAGTTCTGCCCCTTGCCCCCAAGCCCCCCGTGTCGGTCGCTAGCCCTCCGCGGGATATGTATCCCTGCTCCCGGGGCCCCCTGTTGTCGGCCCTCGGCCCTCCGGCGGATATGTTCCCTGCTCCCGGGGCCCCCTGTGTCGGCCCTCGGCCCTTCCGGCGGGTCTGTTTCCCCGCTCCCCGGGCCCCCTGTGTCGGCCGTCGGGCGCTCTGATGCGCCGCCTGTTCCGACAGCCCGGCGCGGGGGACGAGCCGGACCAGGTCAGTGCTGGTGTTGTCCGCCGCCAGCCAGCATGGGTGTTGTCAGGTGTCACCAGGGCGGGTGGGTGTGCGCAGACGGCTGTTTTCCTCGGGTCGAACTTGAGACCCAACGCCATTATGGTCTGCGATGCCGACTTCCTCCGTGTGGTGCTTTTCTGCGTAGCAGGCAACGTCCTCACGACCATGCACTGTTTGGATCGCGAGGAAGGCCTTTTGTGGACTGGTTAAAGCGTATCATCCGTTCTGTTGTAAGTGTATATGCTCACAAGACGCGTTAGGTGCTGCGCCATGTTCAGATAAGCCAAGAAAAGTCAGTGTCCTAATGGAACCGTGGACTTACCGTAGATTTTGCGGAGGAGAATTATACCAATAGACCAGCTGACAAATGCATGCTGAATGGTCGTGCGGATGAATGGGATGTCAAACTATTGAATGTAGGTATGCACATCAGGCTTCATTGATTCAGGAAAATATTGTGCATATGGTGCCATTGAATGCCAGTCAGTGATGCGATAAGTTATGGTAATTTGCGCGCAATGTGGCAGTAGGATCTGACAAGCGCACAGGTCTTAAAGTAGGACATTGGAGGTCGGTCTTGCCTCATTTTCGGCTACGTGTCTCAATTCTTAGCGCTTCTCTTATTGAACAATACCCACTAACAAGAGCCCCACAATTGTTCTGAATATATGGAACACGTACTGTTCCCGAGCTGTCGAAAGTGATAGCAAAACAGTTCGGAGACGGCTTTTATTTTCTGATATGCCTGTACGTAACTGTTTGCACCTGTCATGGCAAAATGGCGCGCACCGGATTCTTTGGGCGTCATTACACGCACGGGCTATAGACTCAGGCGCGATTGGGGGGGGGGGGGGGGGGAGTGGGCTCTGCCGGACAACAGCCCGGCCGGCCATGGCCGACAGCCGCTGACCGGCCGTGCCTCCGGAGCTGAGACGGGCGCGCTCTGCCGGTCGTGGCCGCCAGCTGCTTACCGGCTGTCCTCTCCGGCGCCGCAGACCTCGTCCGTGTCAGAGCTGAACGCCATGAACGCGCCGCCGCCGGCGGCGGACAGGACACGGCCCGAGCCGGCCGCCGAGCCCGAGCAGCCCATGTCGACCGACGCCAGTCCGGTGCATACCAATGGCACCAACGGCACCAACGGCCGCACGCCGGCGACGCCGGCCAGTCCCGGCGGCGAGCCGGCCGGCCGCGCTGACAGCGGCGTCACCAGCGGCGAGTACGGGTGAGTGACCGTCATGTGCGAGGAGCGCGGGTCAGTGGGGGCCAGCAGACGGAGGAGGGGTCACAGGGTCAGCAGTGAGGAGCAGGTGTCAATGGAGGTCACCGATGACCACTACGGACCTTTGTGTGTGACCAGTCAGTATGGGACGATGCGGGTCAGCAGTGGCGCGAAAGGTCGGGCAGGTCACTTGTGACAATTACAGGGTCAATGCGGGTCGCCTTTTAGACTCATTGGGAGTATCAGAAAATTGTGTTGGTCAGTAAGAGCCGGTAATCGCTAGCTAAAACAACTCCCGGCCGATTTTAACGGTGACGCCAGGCTCATCGGTTGGTGCGGGCTGCATTCGGCTGAACCATGACGTGAAAACTACCACTGTAATATGCTTTGGCTTTGGATTGTCTCGCACTGCTGGAGTGGTGATGCTGTCTCGCTGTTGCGACGGGTGTGGTGTTGACCCTCGGACCGTAAGCTGTGTGTCTCTCCCCCGACAGGTCCAGTCTGTCATCGCTAGACCCGCTTAGTCTCAAGTCGTCGACGGTCAGCAACGACGACGACTCCCTTAACTCCAACGTGTCGCAGTCGACGACGACGGGCGCGACGGACGGCCCGGCGTCACCGGCGGCCGACGACGCGGGCCCCTCGCGCCGCCCAGATCGCCGGTGAGCGCCCCGGACCGGCTGGCCGCCCGCCGGCGCGGTTCGCGGAGCCGGCCGACACGGCGTCCCCAGCGGTGGCGTAGGAAGGCCCCTGCTAGAAGCACCAGAGCTTGAGTTGCCTCGGATGCTCTGCCGTCTGTGATGAGAACGTTGCTATTGTCCGTGGCAGCCGTGTGGCGAGCAGCTGCGGTGTATGCCGGGCGTGAGCAAGACACGGGTGGCCGGGTGCGGGGCGTGAGCGCCAGCCTGGCCCGGTTGCCGGCCGAGTGACGTCACGGGCGGCGCTCGGCGCCGCGGGCCTGCAGCGTCCCAAGCGGAGCTGAGCCTGTGCTCGCTGCGAGGCCTCGGTGCTTTGCGGGGGGGGGGGGGCCGACCTTCGGCTGTCCCCGCGTGGGTGGCCCGCCCGTCCGCCCGCCGCCGACAGGCCTTGCCGTCCGTTTCAGACCTGATCCAGATGTAGCGGGCGTCTGATGCGGTGACCGTGACACGCTGTGACCGGACCGTCCGAGCGGGCGGCGTGCCGGAGCCGTCCCACCGGGGCAATAGTGATACTGGCAGCGGCAGAAGGAACGGCGACCGGCGACGGCAGCGCCTCTGCCGGCCACTCGGCGAACTACGCTCGCGGCCGGCCGCACCGCTTGTGCAGTGGAGTCGGGACGGCCCGCGAGCGCTCCATCAGGGCCGGCGGGGTTACTAATACGAGTATGTGCCGGTGTTTGCCTGAAAGGGAGAGAGAGAGGACGGGAGACGAGGGCGCTGGCCCCGCCCCTGTTTTAGCTGTATCACACTAAGCGCGCGCGCATGTAAGCTACACTGTATTAGCCTACCTTGGACGGTGTCTTAGGCTCGTAACCTGGCCCGGCTGTTGGAAGCATTGTTTAACACGTTTTAAGGGCGGTCAGAGTGGGAGGAGCCCGACCGGCCTGTGGTCCCGGTTGGATCCTCGCTGGCCAGACAAGCCGCTGATAAGCGGCGTCGTCACGCTGGCTCCAACAGCGGCGCGTCTCGGCTTCCAGAACTGTTACGTGTCTGTCGACACTTTTAACGGACGAATGGTTGGAAGTTTCAGTCATTATTTCTCGAGTAAAGTTTATTTTACAGTGTCTGACCGTAAAATAAACCGCAGTAATCTAACTGACCGCGTTGTTCTGCGGTGCTGCGCTCTGTCGACCGAGGAGTGGAGATGTTTGTTCGATTAATACATGGACGGAACGCTGGAGGTGCGGACGTGCTGGTCTGGCTCCAGTCCACCATGAGTGCAATGTTAGGAATCGGACAATTACTTCCACTAGCTGCTCATGGCCTGGCGCCTACGGCGTTATGGCGCCTATGACGTCCATAATGTCTCGCTTAATGACCAGAAAATGCAGCCAGACTCGGGGCTTAGGTATTTGTGATATGTTCAATTCCAAGAACGACGCCGCATTACGTGCTATCCAGGTGCTGCATAACGATGGGCCGATGGCCTTGCTTCTAGTACCAGGTCAGGACGTGCCTAGCAGTCAGACATTCGCCACATTCCTCGCACTAGGGTGCGCCCTGTCGCAGTGACAAAACAAGTTTGCTGCGTACGTATGTCTAAATCGCAACCGGCCAGGAGGGATCCAGCATCGTCTTGGCGGTGTAAACGGCAAAGATCTTCCCAAACCGGTCGCATCGGACCTTTACTCGTCACCATAACATACTTAGGTTACTTTAATGATGAAAGAGCGCGAAACGAGACAGTTAAAATAAGAAATTACGACATTGGATATATTTTAACGCAGTTAGGCTTGTGAACGTTCAGAGGACGGCGCTGCGATGCGTCCTGAACGGCGGAAGCCTTGCTACGCGTCCTGAACAGCGGAAGCCCTGCTACGCGTCCTGATCAGCGGAAGCCTTGCTTCGCGTCCCTTCAAACAGAGGTACAGCCGGTGCCAGCGGAACCTTATGGAAATACAGTCAGTGCCAGCGGAACCTTATGAAAATACAGTCAGTGCCAACGGGAACTTACGGAAATACAGCCAGTGTCAGCGGGACCGTACGGAAATGCAGCCAGTGCCAGCAGGCCCTTACGAATCGTCAGCAAGGATCTTCCCTGAACTGTGGTAAAGCGAGACCGGCTCTGCTGCGAGGCTGGCAAGTTCCTGCTCAGGAATGCCACATTTTCAAAGTGACAAAGATATAAAAATAAACCGATGAATTAGGCGTCACATCGGGCCAGATCATCAAACGCGCGCTCGGGGGCCTCGTCGAGTCGGCTGGCGGCCCCGCCGCGCAAATCTCGCTCTCGCAGACCCGAGCTGAGGTCGTTCGTCCTCTTGAGGTCGATAAGGTCGTTCGTCCTCTTAAAAACAACCGGATCAACGTGTTCGAAAACAGAGACAGATATATGGGTGGTTGGCAAATTGCGACAACTTGATAGCGTAATTCAACTTGAGCTTTCCTCTCTGGAGATAAGATGACGGCTCATTTGCTTCTATCAGCAGGGCTGCAATGCGGGTAGTACGGAACGCCCCAGGAACAATACGGACACACGTGGTGGACAGTATCGCGCGCGGCCTTAGAGGACACCGGGGCGCTGTCGTAAAGCCGGCAGATTAGTGCTCGGTACAACTTTAGCGAGGCACAGCCATCCACGCCATACGCCGTGAGACATTACCTGCAGCACACAACGCTTTTGACAGCTGGCCTTAAGGTAGATAGTTTTGGCAATTCTGGGGCCCATTGTCTGGTCGGATGAGTTTGCCGTTTTGTGGTTCCTTAGCGGTCTAAGGCTCTTTGGCCTTCGTAGAGGGGGGGGGGGGGGGGGGGGGGCAGGAGACACTCGTTATCCTGAGAATCCTGCGGACTTCCGGGATTCTTCAGGATGTGGAGGCGGGCAGCTTAGTCTCCTCGTTGGACCTTGATCGGCTCAGAACCTTGTGGCTGCTGAAAGGAATTGGGCCTGTCAAAAATGTCCCCTAAATTGTGACAAGGCCTCCGTCATGTTCCGGCTTTAGTTGTTTTCTCATGTTTTCGGGCTTGTGCCGATTTTGTTTTTCATCACCCATGAGTGGAGGCTCTTTTACCAGACTGCGACACTGGAGAGTACAAGGGTGCCATGCTTCACTCAGACACTTTGATCATTCTAAGCGTCCTTGACCAACCCAGTGGTCAAATGGGCTAACGTAGAACTTTTTAAGAGGTCTTGATAGTGCTGTCGACGACCCCTGTAGCGAATCTGGGGTGCTCGTTGACTTTCTCGAACGCCAGTGCTAACGGCTCCCTGACCAGCCCGATGTTTTTAAAAGTTCTCCGGATTCACCGCAGTACCGGCCATTTTTTTCTTCAAGGGCGTTGTGCGCCGTTTCTGCTGAAGCGAAAGACAGGCGAGGTCCGTGAAGACAGTCTGTGAAGTTAGCAATTTTGAGCGATTTGTTTAGCCAAGAGTTGCGATTTCGCTGCAAATGCATCGGACGGTTCATAATGGCATGAAAACGCCGCATCTGACGTCTATTTTGTAATATCACGAGACCTTGAAGGTTAAATTCAATGTCAAAGGACGGCGATCTCCACATCACCAAGGAGTTACCAGCCGATTTCAGATTTTTAAGCATCAGAGTATTCACCAATGCATGAACAAGTGTCCACACAAAAGTCCTGGCCTCCTCAGGTCACAATTCAAAGTCACATTAAAGCTCAAATGACGGGGAACTCCACATCACCCAACAATTCGCTTCTTTGGAGTTTCCAACACTTCACCTTGAAAGGGCAGGATTTTTTAACGGACGCTAGGTCGTGCGCTGTTGAATATTCTGATGCTTAGCAATCTGAAATGGGTAGGTACCATTGATACCCTGATATCCGGACCTTGAATTTCAACTAGAAGATCACGTGGTATTGAAAAATAGACTGCCGACACGGTCCGTACCTTAAAAGGAGTGTTCACATTTATATGGAGTATGCAACTGAAACGACCATTTTGAAGGCCTTTTGGTGCTGTTCACAGCCCTGCCCTTCTTAGAGGGATTGTTTCACATTTGAAGATATTGAGTTAGGCATCAGATATGATGGGAAATGCTTCCTTGTAACCATTGGTAAGCCTTAAAGCCTTAAAGTTTAAAAATGACGCTAAGTAGCCAAATTTCAAAGTTTATACAAATGGGCTCCATTACGGCATTATTTGATGGCGTCATGAAGTGGGTTTATGACAACAGCAAAACCTGGCATCATCTGGCAGCCAGACCTAAAGAACATCTCAAAACACACGAAAGCTGACACCAACTGGTCATCCTCGTCGCGGGGGCTGTGTCGGGGGTGGATTCGTGAGTGGGTTATTTGTGGATTTTTTTGTCTTGGCGCTGGCCGTAAGAAAAGCTTTCGTAGACTGTTTGACATGCGCAACGTAGCGATCGCCAGCGTTTATGATAGATATACAAAGCACGATATGCTGTGCTGCTGCTGTTGTTGCTTTGCTGTTGATGATTTTACCAATTCTTTATCGTCGACCCATCGTTGCGCGCAGTGCTGTAATCCTGACATTGATATCATGTGATGTGTACAGTAGTCATTGTCCTGATTGTTTGTTACTGGAAATGGGATGTCGTGCCAAAAGTGATAAATTTATAACATTGTCTTTATTGTTTGTGACTGGAAATGTGGTGCCATGCGAAAGCTTATAAATTTGTAACGTTGCCATGCATTGATTGTCAAAGCATTGGTATTGCTATGGTAAAGATGGTAAGGGCTACCAATATTTTTTGTGCTTAGGATTGTTCATGCAGTTTATAGTTAACCCTGCTATAACCATTGTGGTGGAACAAAATTATTGCCGTAGACAGTCCTTTGGCATTGTTAAATAAACCCGTCTAGTTTCTGAACCCCGCAGCAGCGAAAATGGAGAGCGTATATTTGGGAGAGTATTTCAAAGTCACCTTGGCATTCATGAGGTCATACTAACGCCATTCAAATCGTGCCATTCCATAAGCCACGCGACGATCAAGGTCAAGCAAAATATAATTGCCGAGGCGTTCGTATCTGGCGTTGGTGAGTACCATTTCCAAATATAACAGCCGTCAATTGGCTCTCAATTAGTGTTGTACAAGGTACGATAAATTAATCAGATTATGATGCATTTAGGAGCATGCCTAGGTGCTAAACATGCAATTGTCTTTTCCACTTCAAAAGTATGCCAACAGATATAAATAAGCTACAGCTATACGTGACGCATTGAGAGGCATGTTTAAATGCCAAACATAGAATTGTGCTGTATAGAGTAGTGTTTTCCACTTCAAACGTATCCCTACAGTTATAAGTAGGCTTGTTTCATAACATCTGACGTTTGCTTTATATCTTCAAATGAGAAACATTCCCTTAAATTGACCATTTGACGCGTTTTCAGCAAAATCAGAACCCGTCGCTGAAAAAGCTACACAAATCGTTAGCTTCACGAATGTACAGGCGACGCCATACAGCCTGTACTGCCGAGTGCGTTGTAAACCCCCAATCGCAAGAACATTCCAAGCGCTTTTTCAGAATGGTTCGAAGGTGTGTTTTAAAATTTCCACGGGCACCGAATAGCCCGCTGAAATTATGCAAGGAAAACAAGGCTTACCTCGCCGAAGCCTATGTGGGAGCAGCTTACCTCTGCCTTCCAATCTGGATGCACTAGCACCGATACTCAGCCGTATGAGGCAACCCACTGGTCGCTTGAGTCCGTCGGCAAAAAATATAAAAAAACGCCCGTTAAGATTCGTGTGACGTATTTGGTACAATCTTTCGTCCCATCATATGCTGATGAAGATGCACGCTATGGCCAACTGTTGAAGCTACCCGTTATTCGTTTCCAAATGAAAATCGCTCGCGATGTACGTTGAAAATGAGAACACTTTATTTGCATGCTGGATCAAACAGCTCCTGTCCTTCGGTCAAGCGCGATTTCGAACAGACAGTTACGATAATTGAGCTAGAATTGCTTTTGAATTGGGATAGGGGTGAAAAATTCCATCACAAACATACCGTACAGGAGTGACAAACTCAACTCACAAAAGTTGGAGCTTATGAGTCAGTGAGAGATGCTCCAACAAACAAATACATACATTTCAAGGTGTCATGGATGTAATATCAGAAACACGACAAAATGTTTTTAACGTCTTAGCTGATTATCGTGAAACATAATGTATTAAAAAACAGTAATTTCAAAATAGTGAAATGAGCATCAAACGCCATGTATCACCAATGTTTTGATGCTGCACTTTA